ATAATTTAAAAAGAGTTGCCTTTGGAAATAAATGGTTTTGAAGCCAAAAAAAATATTTACCTAGTGCAATAATTGCATTTAGCTTTTCCATCTACAATCATAAAAAGGTTCCACACTTCACTTTTTGCTCTTCTTTGAACAAATTGCACTGTGCCTGTTGAATAAATTACCGAAGAGGCATCATTTTCAAGCATCATTTTCAACAATGCAATTATCGTCATTGTTATATTTATTATTTAAATTTAAAACAATGAATTGTGCAACTGTAAATTATATTACTTTTTTATCGTTATTAATATCAATATGCAGAGTTTCTATTCGTAATACAAATTCTTATTCGAATTATTCGAATAACCATTCAATGTATTTCGAATACTCAGATTCATAACGAATAAAACAAATCATTCGAATAAAAATCCTATTAACATGACATTAAGAATCCGGCTTGATTCGGATCGAATCACTTTAAAATTCGACTCGGCTCGATTCGCTCAAAGCCCTACTGCCAAATATCTTATTCCGTCCAATTATGAGATAAAATAGTATGTTATCTATTTACGTGTATTAAAAAAATTTCATTCATCAATTATTATTATCCAGTGAAAATTTTCAACACCAGGTTTTTTTTATGATATTTTTCTCATTACAATGGGGAAAAAAATAAAGATTACATATTAATATGGAACTGAGGATCCACTGTAACAAGTTTTGACTGTGTGTACTTATTTATTAATTGATAGATGATTGATTAATTATAGAATAGAAATGCTGAATGATGAGATAATTGTTGCAGTAGAAGAAGCACCAGAAAAATATGGGTATCCTAATGTCAAATACAATTGTTTTAGATAGCATTTAACTATTTACAACAAAAATTCCGATATATATATATAAGATAAATAGTTCAGTAGTATCAGAAATAATGTAACATCAAATTAGAAGAAGCAAAATGTTCGAAAGCTTTTATAACAAGTAATTCTATAAAAAAAACATTTTATGTTTAATCGTTATTTTTAAATAAAAATTTAATGGTCGGTCGGTCACATGTGCTCGCATTTAATGTGTATTCGAAACAGATATGGGTCGGTAAGGTTTTTCGGCTGTATAAAAGGATTTTTTCCAGTGTGCTTGAAACTGTATTTCATCTGATAACGAATAAATGTGTATTGGCAACAACAGATAAATGCTTATTGTTGTTTTGTCTAATGTCCCTTTGTTTCATTCTAGAAAATATTATTAAGTGTTTCCATGACATCATTTTAAAAAGTAGTACATATCGTTGGACGCGGCAAGACTACGAATGGATCCCGAAATGAGTTAAATTAGGAATTGACACATTCAAGGATTCTGTATTGTCGACCATCCGTAGCAATTGGGAATTCAAAAAGGCTAAAACAAAACAAAATGCAAGATGTCATCAAAGGAGACTTTTCTAATATATGACCAGATAATCAAAAAGTTTAAAAGTAAAAAAAAAGGTTACACCGACAATGAAGCGATGTTTATTAAGTTCCTTCAGAATTTAAGCATGTACATTTTACCAATGTGTTTAAAATGGTATATTTTTTTAGACCTCTATTTATTAAATAAAACACATTCGATTCTATAAATTTTTTCAAAATACTTGTCTAACATTAACGTTAATACGTGACGTAGACATGTATTCAGCATAAATATTCCAATCCGGGTCATTGTTGTTGCTTTGTTCTAGATAGGAGGGAAGTGTATTTTCAAGAATCCTTGGAACTCCTTATTATAAATAATTTATTTAAATATCTTAAATATCATATAATAGCAATAAATAAGAATAATTATAATATGAGGTTACCATGAAAATTAGCCCTGGATGGACCATACATTATTGATATATCACCACTTCGTAAATATAACGCTTCTGGAGGTATGTCACGTGTTGACCCACCAATTAAGAAAATACAAGAGTGCCCAAAACTTTTATTCAAGGTAAAAATGTGTATATATATAAATGTCAATAATATATGCATACACATAATCCCATACATACATATATATATTTACTGTATTACCTAAAAGAAATCAAAGGAGCAGACATGTTTTCTTCACTTTTATCAATATGAGCCATTAAACTATCTTTTGATTGATAGAAATTAACCACGCCGGCTTCTGGTTTCCATTCCTCGGGAGAATAATCAAACAAGAGATTATTATGAGTGTCAGATAATCCATTGATTGCCAGGACCACTAATTTTGTTAAATTCTCAAGATCTTTAGGAAATGGAAATTTTCTATCAAAATGATAAGTTTTTGATGGCCAATGATATTGATAACCTAGAGTTATCCATCTAAGTTTTCTAATTAGTTGAGATGGCCTAAGAAGTGGCACAGATGGAGAAGGAGAAGGATCATTTTTCTCATCGTCATAATATTGGTTATTAATAGACGGTGATGATGACGTTGATGACGATGAGAGTGATGATTTTAATGGTGGTAAATACTCGTTTTCCCCATCCTTTTCATCATCATGATCTTTATTAAAATATTTTTCATGAAGGTTCCAAAGTCCATCTTTAGGCAATAGATAATGAGTATCAAGATTGCTTATATTTGGAGATTTTGCATAATCTTTTAAACATTTTTTAATGATAAATTTTTGAATTGCAGGAGTGAAGGGATTAGGAATAAAAATGAAACCTTTGATAAATGTTATTTTTTTTTTTGAAAAATAAATATATTAAAATTGTAATTATAAATGAATTTTAATGTTTGATAATCATATATTTATTTATATTTACCAGGTAAATTCTTGATTAAAAATGCTTTTTTTTTATTTCTTTTTTCATCACTATTATTTTCATTACCATCATTATCATCCAATTTATTATTAGTTGATTTATCATTATCATTTAAATTAGAAAATAATTCAACGAGTCTTTCACCCAAATCAATATTTAACTCAACTTGTATAACATTACTATCTTTTATTTTTTGATTATTACAATTATTATCTTCTAAATTATAAAAATCAATTACATTACTAAAATCAGGTGGAGGTAAACGAGATTTGAAGTTGCGTTCAGCATCGCGAAAACAAGTTTTTGTAGATGTGTTTGATGATTGTTTGTTTTTAGATAATTTTTCGGCTATTTTTTGTTGCCTTTTTGATTTATATTGTTGTGTATTTGATGATGTTTGTTGTGAATTGATCATTGTTGTAAAGGTAAAATTTTGACGTAGTACTATCTGATAATTAGTATTATATAGTAATAGTATTATATAATATTAATATTAATATTAAATTAATAAGATCAGCAATGGGGTGTGATTGATAACCCTAGGGTCTTCATTTAATTACCTTTTTTTGTTATATTGTGTACAAAAAATTTAATAAAAATATTTTCAAAACCCAAAAATAATAATTTAAATGAGCTCCTGTCAAGATTATTTACAACCAGGCTTTATGCCTAGCGACTTAACTGTAACTCGTTTAAAGGAGATCCTTAAACAGAATGATGTCGGATTCCGGACATCCAGCAAGAAAGCAGATCTTGTACAATTATTTGAAGAAAAAATTCGAAACAGATCTCCACAAATTCTGACAGAAAATTGGGTAAATATTGCATTTTAAATAGGGCTTTCCAAAATTTATCCTAATTATATTTTAGTCATAAATTTATTTAATTGTCGAAATTTAGGTTGTTAGACAAGGAAATCAATCACCTCCTGCTAATGATGCATTTGGAAGAGGTGCAAGTTGTAGAAATGGAACACCACATACAATACATCAAGTACCTAATAACAGATCACAACAACATTCACCTAAAATAATTACTAAGAATCCACCAGATAATTCTTTTATTTTACAATCACAAAATACTATAACTGAAACAACAAACAATAATTCTATTTATATTAATGATGATGACGATGATGATGATGATGAACTAATTACATCAAAACCATTATATCAGCAACGAACATTATCAAAAATCAATGGTTCATTTACAGCTGATGGATCATCATCGTCCATAAAGACTAATGAATCTATTACCATAAAGAGGGAACAATCATCATTGCCACCATCACCGCCATCAATCAATGAACCGCCATCATCGTTTTCAAATCATCCAGTCCCACCTATTGCTTCTTCACAAGTCTTGGATAAAAATTCATCGAATGAACTACATTACGATATTCTAAGATATTGTTGGTTTGGAACTGAAATTTATGAAAATATTTATATCAAACGAATAAATCGAATACCACATCCTGAAGTTTTATATGAATCAGAAAGAGATCAAAGAAATAAAATAATAAAAAAAATTATCTTAAGCATTTTCATAATATTATTATTTTATCATAGAATAAAAAATTATGCAGGATATTGTGACAATATTAATGATAGTTATGATATAAATAATGGTAAGTTTATATGTTTTAAAATAATATATATATATTTTGGAAATATAATTTTTTTAATTTTACTATTATTATTCATGTAATAGATCTTTTAAGAAGTCTTGTTTGCATACCATGTCCCGGTTCATCTAATTGTGTTGATGGTAAAATAGTATCATGTGTAGATGGTTATAAAATTTTGAAATCAGATTTTTCTATTTATGAGATGGCTTCGAATTATTGTGAAGCTGAAATGGGAATGGAAGAAAAAATCGCATTCTATTCTGAAGCTCTTAAAAGAGCTGCCATTCTTCAACATGAAAAAATAGTATGTAATAATGAAAGTAGAGAGACAATGAATTTGAAAAATCTTAAATCAAAAATAAGAATTTTAATGGTATATATATACTACTTTTATTATTTTTAACATGATTTTTTTTTAAAAAAAAAAACCATTGCTCACACATAATTCATTTTAATGATATAAATAATATAGTATAAAGATTCTGATGAGGAGTTTGAAAATTTTTTTGAAAGTGGATTCGAAAAATTGAAAAGTGATCCTGATCTCAATATTGGATTTATAAACAAGTAACTTTATATTCAATAATTGATGACTTTCCTTTTTTTTCCTAAAATAATAAAAATTAATTAATTAATTTAGCGGCAATCTATATGATGGTACAAATTTCTATATATTTCCTAAAGAAGAAACTTATACTATAATGTGTACTGCAAGATTAAAGGGTTTAATTACAAACAACCCTTATTATGCAATTGGCATGTTGATTTTTTGAATTAGTAATATTTTTGAATTAATTATTTTATTTTACAAAGTTTTTTAATGTTATTATTATTATATAAATATTTTTAGCTTGTTTCATTTCTATCGTTATATTGGGTTGGTTGGTTGGTCGTATAAGGAAACGACGGAGAGATCGGAGGTTGGAGATGCAGGCCACTGATCATTTATTTTGTGTACTCAAGTCAGAACCAACAGTAATTTCATTAGCATGGCGTGAAATAATACTAAGAGAATTGGTTAATGACAAATCACATCAGGAAAGGATATGGGTTAAAGTAGAAGAAAACATTCGAAGTCACAAAATGGTGTCTTCAAGATTTATATCATATGACGGAAAACAATCATATTGTTTTCAATGGCTTGGAAGATAATTTGATTTTCATTAAATGACAATATATATAATTTTAAAAGATTAATCAATTTTTTATTATTATATAATCTTTATTATTATAGATTATTTATATATTATTCTTAGGGTCTTGCATATATACGCATTATTTGTAAATTCTTTCGCATATCAAATATATATATATATATAGATTTAATTTGGATTTTTATGTGGATTCTATTTGAAATTTGACACATTTAAAGATTCCTATTGTAAATAAATAGAAGAAAGACATTTGATTACAATAATTTTCATCATCGAATCGAAGGCTTTCTAACAATATAGGATGATAAATCTTATCACTTATAAATTAATATGAAATCAATTAATAATTCCAAGGCCTAAAAATTCCAAATCATCAAACTTTATGCGAGCATAGCAAGTAATTATTAAAATTGTTTTTATAATTTAATAATTTCTATTCAAGCAAAATTATTCTCATAGATATCAAGCAAGATATCCACCAGAAACACGTTTTTCCACGCAAGTATATTTTCAAATTCTTCACATTTAGACAAATCGCCGAACAGTCAATGATATTAACATTAAATTGAGGTGAATCCACTATTTTTGTGGCGCAGGCTTTTTAAGTCGTGTAAAGCATATGATTGGCCAAAATTAATGTCCCCAAACATTATAATAATAAAAAATGCAAGCGTCAAGCTATAACTTGAGATAAAGGCCGTGTAACAAGGGAAAAAATGAATTTCTTTTACACTTATTTTCATCTCTTACCCACTTTTGAATGTTGCACATGATACACTAAAGTTAAAAAGAATTAGTTATAACATTAGTTTAGACAACAGCTTGACATTCTAGAAAATTCTTATGCCAGTAACTTTTAAAACGGGACCAAGATGGCAAAATGTTACATATAATTATAATCTGGGGTCCACAATCAATATTAACTGTTAATTGTAGATTTCAATTTCACATACAACAGTGATAAAGAAAGATTTTATGAAGATGTTTATTGTGTTAGTAATGAATTGAATATATTGCAAAATTTGTGTAATTATACAATCAAACCTTGCCACAACGCATGCAATAATAATAATACTAATCTCGTCATAACGGATTTTATAGGGACAAAGTGAACATTTGTACTATAGTGCAGGACACCTAGTCCCACAACTTTTTATTGGTCTTGTATATCCTTTAGTATACCAGAAATGGAAATGTA